TTTTACAAACACACTAATTTTTATTTTTAAAAATGCTTTCAAATTGAAATAATAAAAAGTTATATTATCTGAGCATTGAAAATGTAACATGTGAATTTGAAATCAGTAATTTTTTTAAACTAGAGAAACTGTACGCTTATCTGACGCTTTCGCAATCAATAATTCATTTATACAGTGCTACAGTAATTTTTATATTTAAACATATTCTTTAATTTTAACGGGTCTAAGGCGTTGCTTACCGAATACTCGGCAAGTGTTAGATCTAGGATAGTTATTATTATATTTCGAATCTTTTACAATTCATAAGATAATTATAAACATTTATATAAATATAAGTTTAGATACGACTTAGTAGAGACGACTTATTAGAGATACATTTATAAAAAACACCTATAAGGCAGATCCTTTAAAGACGAGGGACCGCATTGGAAACATGATTATGTTGTGAAAACTCGACATTTTTACAAAAAGTTGTTTATGATTTGTTTCACGAAAAAGGTCCCTTTGAAATATACGAACTAAAATCTTTTAAGTGCAAAGTTTGACAGCAAATGTCAAAAATTTCGCGAAGAAATGCCCCGCGCCTAAGGGACATCTTTAGTCATACAGTATTACGTCTTTAGCAGAAGGACTCTTCTTAACCATAATTTACACCCGAGACCTTCAGTAAACCATTTTTTGTAATAAGACGGATTATGAATTCTTTTTAAATTACTAAAGAAATTTTTTTCCATGTTTTATGTCATTTATGACAAAAAACCCAGTTTAGATATCAATGTAGACGACAACCGAAAACGAAATAATATTTAAAAAAAATAGGTTTCATATTACCAATGCAGTCACATTACAACTACAGATTAAAACACGAGAGATCACATTTTTTATACAAAGGGTAACTTACAATATATTGCTCCAAGCACGCAATGAAAATAGAAAAACGAAATGAAATTGCTTTTTATTTATTATTTAGATTGTGAAATTCTGAATAAGACACCTGAGATAACAATGACCGTCTACTTTATTAATTAAAAGCAAAATAAGTTAAAACAAAAAAGGGAAACAAAAAGTAGATCACGGAAACTTGCGGCCGCCACCCGCCAGTATTGTCGCGTCCACACTTAGGCTGTTCTTGAAAAATATATTAAGCATTCATTAAAAAAATGTCATTGAAATGCTTCATTTTAAAAGTTTTCTAATCATTTAGGAAAAATAAAGTCTCTCGGAATCACTTTTTAGGTGTAAGAACTTTAGTTTTTCAATTTTAAGAGAATATATTTACGAAATATCGGCCCGGCCATGTTATTGTAGAAGTGAGATAGAACATTACAGTCAGTGTCTTATTTTTTAATCTTTAAGATGTGTGCGTGCAGAGCGCATGTAGTCCGATTTTCCTATATATTATGATTTTCGAGAGTACCGTAACTTTTTGTTTATATCAATGGTCTAGTTGGCATTCGTCAAGGTTATTGGTTCAATTTAATAAAAGTTTAAATTATTAAATATTTTCTAAAAGATAATTTAAAGATCGTTCGAACACAATAATATAAACAATTGTTTTAAAAAATATAAACCCTAATATTGTTTACAAAAGGGTTTTTTTTTATAGAGTAAGTAGATTCTATGATAATGAGGATTGTATAGAGTTTTAGAGAAGTGATGATGTTTTTATTATTGTATATCTAGAATGAATATACCTTATAAATAAAATGGGCGCGTATTTTGTTTTTAAAATTAAAAACAGGTTTTGAGTTTAGAGAAACGTTCCTAGAAGCTTTATTTATAATAATAAGGTTATGTCATATTTAGTCTTTTAAAGTAGAAATATGTTTACAATTTTATTGTAAGAAAGTGAACATTATATTAATGAAAACTCTTGCAATATATTTCATAAGCGACGGTTATTGCTATTGTTTTTGGAAAGGTTACGTAATTATTGACTAATGACTAGATAAACGCTGTTACTACAATTTTCTATCACTAATGACGGGAGGAGACCTGTATATTGGTTGTTACTCTATTGCATTTATATACGAATTTAACTATGTTTGAATAAATGATGATTGATTACATTTATTTCCTACTAGCTGTTCCCCGCGACTTCGCCCGTGTCTAATTTAGGGGCGAAACCCCAATACTTTTTCTACAATAAAAGTATCGTGAGTTATTCCTTATAACTTCAGCTATCTGCCCTCAAAATCCGTTCAGCCATTTCGGAGATTAGCCGGAACAAACATACAAACAGACAAACAAAAATTTAAAAAATTGTGTTTTTGTTATAAGTAGGTAACGTATATACTTTCATATGCATTTAGTAAAAAGTTATTATTTTGACATTACAAACAGACACTTCAATATTATTTATTTGTTTAGTTTAGCTCTTTGATTATTCACGGTAAATAAATTTACAACATTGAAAAAGTACCTGTTAGGACTATGATTTGAGAAATTTGCATTACTGCCGCTGACGAAGGGAATAGTAACTAGTAATGATACATTCACAGAAATAAATGAATGCATCCACAGAGGGAGTGCGAAGTTTATAATTTGTTTTTATTAACATTTTATCAGTATAAAAGTTTAGTAATTTAGTCATTATAATAGGAAAGTCAAAGAATATATTAGGTATTTATGATTACAGCGAAAATTTTATTGTAGAGTTCGACCGAAAAAGGATTTTGTTGTCGGGCAAAAAAAATGAAAAGACGAAAAAAATACATTTAATCTGGTAGAGCCTTCTTCTTTAATCCGGTTGGCTCGAACGAGACAGTCACGTTCTCACAGAATGCCAGCATGAAATAGCAGCCTAACGCTACCGTGTTTCGGATGGTGAGTGTAGAGAATCGGATACTCTTTATATGATTAGTATTCTTAATTGAGGATAGATGTACATGTCTATGGGCCACGGCATCCACTCACCATCACGTGGACTACTATGTACTCGTTCGTTTGTCAACCTTATTGTGTATAAAAAATTACATTAAGTACACAAACAGATAGGTAAAGCTTCAAAAGTAATAAAATTATACAGTTTAATGTGATTAATAGTGTATTTCAAAGAATATTTATTATAGACTGATATTATATGCAAAGAATAGTAATTTTTCTGCATTTCTCTTAATAAATCACAACGCCTGTCTGAATAAATTTGATCCGCTGAATTGATTATTTATTATATTAATAGACCCCTGTTATCGACGCACACCGTAGAAAATATAAATTATGACCGAAAATCGAAAACTAAATTCGGTCGAACTCTACTTATTGTTATTGTACGAGTATTCAATTATATCTACACAAAAGATATGTTTTAAATGTGTAATGTAGTAAATGTATAAGATTTAATTGTTGCTTGGATTATTGTAATGTTTTGTACCTATTGTTAAAATTGAAACAGTTGTATTGAACGTACAATTATGTACAGCATTAAATTTATTATAATTTATATAATTGAGTACGTAATATTTATTAAGGGTTTAAATTGTGAAATACTTTTAAAAATTACAAACCTTATTTTCTTAAAATACTGTTAGATGTTATGTCGTATGTGTTATGTAAATATGTTTCATAATCACTGAAATCTATTAAAATAATGATTACAATAACAGTGCACTTCTATTTATTTAGTTTTGGGTGCAAAATTTAATATTTTAATTATTTATTACTATGTGACAGTAGTTATCAGTAGAATGTTACTAGAAAAAAAAAGAACAAGTAAAAATATTGCTTGCCGGTTATTGCTAAATAATATGCTTTTCTATAGATTCCATTAAATTTACATCGGGAAATGCATTGTTAATTTTAATAACTCTCCCATGTAAAAGTGAGTGTTGCCAAAATCAAAACTGCAAATTTGATACAAAATTAAAGTATTTTAGCAATTCACCAATGAAACTTCGTAATTACGATGGATCGGTTATCATACAATCAGTATCAGTAATCTAAAATACGTAGATAATGTGAAGTGTAGGGAATAGATAAATATTAATTAATTTGATGGAAATTTGATTGAATTATATATAAATAAATGATGAAAATGTAAAATTTCGCTAGTAAATTCGCCCATCTGTTCCCTTTTTGATTGAAAAATTCAATGTCCCACAAAGTTCCAATATTGAATATTTTATAAATACAAATGTTCGTGTTAAATATGTATATATTTAACGCTTATTTAAGTAGAACTGTTGGAAAAGGTAAACATCATTTAGTAGTAATTGAAAACCGTTGAGTTACTTATAACATTACCAGCGTTATATTACATTTTAGGAATGTATCTTACATTATGCGTAACTTTACAGTATATTGATATAATAATTACATATTAGTATATCAATAAATTAAATTATAAACTTTGTTTATATAATTTTTGAATAAATACTTAAGTACTTTGACATAGACAGTCTACATAATATGACAGGCACTGACAGTTACTTAAAATATACAAATAATAAACACGAAAGGGTTATCCCCTAAATAGTTTTTTTTTTTTATTTCGTTGAAAGGGAATACAGTTATTTACGGCAAGATAAAAGGTTACATAAATTGTTCGTTTATTTTAGAGGAACATAATTAAGAAGAGGTAGAGAATTCGATGTAATTATTTGAGATAAAATTTACGGAAGTAATAGACTTTTTTTTTTGTGAAATTAATAGTAATAAATATGTTCACAACAACACTTAACAAAAATAAGGTAAGTCTTGCAAGACAAAAATCAATCTATCACGTTCATTAGTGGATTAAAAAGGTTTCTGACAGAATATTTCGGTGGGAGCAGTGTTGCCTTAAATAAAAATCACATTGTTAACCCTTGAACGCCTATGATTTACCATTTTACAACAACAAACAAAAATTAATGAGCAGTTTACGTACCAGTATCCAATTCTACTAAAGTGGTCCTAGAAATTCGACGTGGTTTCATGATATTCGAGAAGAGACGACGGCGCTCGAAGGGTTTTGTAAATATCTAGCCTAGGCCATTCCCTTCAGAACGGCCCCGACGTCGTCACTGCAAGTCCTTAACACCTTGTAATATCCTCTTGACGTGCCCCACCTTTGTGATGCCCAGGTCTCTAAGATCGCGTCTTGCCAACGATAGGAGCTCCCTTCCCGTGACGTCATGCTTAGCGAAAACTTCGGAGTATTCGCCAAGTTGCATCGACTCGAGCCAACTTTGGACTTCTTTGACGCCCCAGTTGCGAACTTGCGCCGCGGTGAACGAAGTACTGCTTCCCTCGGAGACACTTCTGCGTCCGCGGAGCCAGCGTCCCGCGCCCCTCTTTGGGACCTATTAGGGTTCACATAGGGTTGGGCGAAATGAATGGGCATGATCATGAACCAAACTCACGTGCACAGTGAGAGTCGATTGTGCAAATGCGTTAGAAATAAAGTCTGACACCGTCCAAGGACATGGTGCGATATGCTTTGGGAACTCTCACAGGTGACTGGGTGTGCAAGGGTAATGATGAAATAAATTACAATTAGTTTATTGTACCCACCTGTCATGCAAAAATCTTATGAAAATCGATTTTTAAAATGGCAATTAATTAACGTAATTAATAGTTAAAATTCGAATCGTAAATATACATAAAAAAAAAAACAAACAATTTAGCGGGCCTTGAGTAACTTCTGGCCACTATTTTTTAACTATTATAAAAGTTGTAGCAGCTCGAGGCACCATAGTGTAATCATAATGAAATCGCTGATCGTTTTAAGTGCTTATTTACCACTTGCTCGGACCCTAGAGTATATGTTTGTAGGGTTCGCTAATTTGCACAGGAACAGCACGACGAATTCTGTTCTATTCCATGACCGTCTCAGAAGAGGGTGCATGTGGATCCAATCATCGGAGCCTTTTTCGTCAGTCAGTAGGCCGTGTCATATGCAGACGAGGTTTGCATTTGTCTAGTTGTACAGTTGTCGTGCTTTCCGAGGAAAAACGGATGAAACACTACTGATTGATGCTAGTGAGATTTTCTCGACAGAGAAACCTTAACTCGGGATTCAAACTTGGGATTATTAGTCACGTTTACGAGAACTACACCGACGAGGCAATGAGGGCTAATAACCTTCCGTTCATCAGATGTCGCTAGTTAGAACTGAGGTGAAGTTTTACGTTACACAATGTCATATATTGTACGTGAGGGTAATATGGTCATCCGGTTAATATAGTCACTTTCTTAAAACTCAAAAACTACAGCTTTGTCATATGTGGCTCTGTGATACGATAGCTCTTTATCAGTGAATCAAATAATAAAGGGTCAAAAGGGCGCTCCTTTATCGACGCCATTTTGACAGTTGAGAATATAGTAAAAAATTTCAGTCAATTTTAGTATTGTGTAGTGTAGTTAGTTTTTTATAAGTTGATTTATCGAAGTGTTCCTAATTATTGGCAAAGCTTGTTTGCTATTTTTTTCTTAATATATTAGTTATAGTACACGAATTTGTGTTTTTGTCCCTGTCCTCCTCCTTGTATAGGTTTTATAGGGCGGCAAAGCTTAAGGTGACCATATTACCCTCACGTACATTAGTTGCGACGTTGTGTTTTTAATACATTTTTATTGGCACCTAGAGTATTATTTAAATACACAAAAAATGCCTCAGTGGTTTGCTCCTTAATATTTTTCACATTTTTGAACTTTTTCTACTTTTAGAAATATCTGTAGTTTGGTTTATTCATTTCTAATCTATTTAATATAATATATAACTAATATGACAGGAAAAAACATTAACTCTTATATTTTCTTAACCAAATTAACTTCCCCGTCATGAAATCTGTCAATATCTTAAACCTCACTCCTGAGTGGTGCCGCTTTGGTGGCAAAAAAAGCCGTGGATGGTAGAGCCACACTGCTGCTATATTAGTTGTAGCACGAATGGGTCTGTTCAATTGGGGTAGGACCACGTTGGTGCGTTTCGTATGGTGAGTGTTGAGAACTGGAGAACCTTTTTACTGGTAACGAGGTATTCCATCTCAGTTCTCAGGAGTGACAACGTGTTACATTTTGATTCTTAATCGGGGATATTTGTAGATGTCTATGCGCCACAGCATCAACTACCATCAGGTGGACGGTGTGCTTGTTTGTCAGCCTTAATGTATAAAGGAATGAAGAGAGTATTTACATAGGAGGGCGGGTCGTCCGCGTGCAGGTAGGCGAGCCCGTCGCGCGTGTCGCAGCGCGCCAGCTGCGCGCGCACGCGGGCCGCCGCGCCGGCGCCCGCGCAGCCGCTCTCCAGCAGCTCGTGGCAGCTCTCCACCTGGCGTACGGTATGCCGAGCTCATTCTTTGATCTATGGACCTTAATCCTTAATAATCGCTTTTCATATATATCCCACGTTACACAAAATATATGGAGAACGTAGACAAGTGCGATACTGCCTCTCTATAGAATAGATTATTTTTATTTAAGAATAGGTACTTTCGTCAAATGTCACGCCGTAAAATAAAAAAGTTTCATACAAACTGAAACACCCTTTTACCCTATTAGGAGCTGAATTTTTAAAAAAATCTTTTTTTTATGGATGTCTACGTAATTAAAGGCAGCTATTGTCCAAATTTCTACATCAAGTGGTTTGGGCTGTGCGTTGATAGATGAGTCAGTCACTCAGGATATGCTTTTATATATATATATATATATATATATATATATATATATATATATAAAAAAGGATATATACTTAATATTATAAAGAGACAGTAAGAATATTCATATACATCAAAGTCACGAGGATAATCTCCGGATACACCGCATCTAATTGAAAAATTCTTTCACCGTTTGAAACGTACGTTATTTCAAATGGACATAGGTTATATATATATATATATATATTACATCTAAGTTATGATGATATTCGTTAATTAAGCAGGAAAAAGTCGGTGCCCCTTGAAAATTTGCATAGCGTAGACTGAGTCAATAGTTAAAGTTGCACAAACATAATGTACGGCTGAATTGTTGTTGTTGCTGTTAAAAATTTGTAACAAAACCGCCCGTTCCTCGACAGCATATGTCTTCAAAGGATAATTCATAGCAATCATTTTTAAATGAAAACTATAGCGCGACAAAATAGTATAGAATTGCGCTCGGCGCAGCGTTGGTCTCTATGTGTCAAGACATACAAATAATCAATTTATTTTAAAACCTCAGAGAAACGGAACCAAAACATGTGGTGCCATAAAGTTTTAAAATTAATAATATCTACCTAACATTTAAGAAAGGTAATCGTTCAACCCGGGTAAAGCCGAAGCGGGATTCTAGTAGAAGATAAAGAAATTGGTCTCACCAACGCTGCGAGCAGACGTCGCAGCTGAGGCGGTGGCAGCAGGCGGCCCTCCGCGTCTTGCAGCGCGTCGGCGCGTGCGGCGACACGTCGGGCTGCACTCAACGCACTGCCACCAGAGCCCGCCTCACTTATACACGCCAGCTTAACCTGATCCATACATGTTTGATGTTGTATTTGTTGAAGCTATATTATGGTTGTAGCACGAATGGATCGGCTCGTTGTGGGACCACGCTCTCACAGAATAACAACGTAAAATAGCAACTCAATGCTGCTGTGAAATGTGCTGTGTGTAGGGAACCGAGAGTTTTTTTACTGGAAACGAGGAATTGCGTTTGTTCTTTCCATTGATTCTTAATCGAGAATAGACCCTATTCTATATAAAAATACAGATGAAACCTTCTTGAGGCCCGTTGAGCAATTTTTGGAAGGGTAAAATCTTATGAGTACTAATTATTTGTAATACGTATAAACAGTTTAAACAAATTATATTTGGTAAGCGCTCTATAGACCACAAACATAACTTATAGCCCAATCCATAATACGTGAAATTATAAAGATATCGTATTAAACTGTGATTTTTCTGTACGTTGCTAGTTTCACCATGTAATCCATTCGTGTTTACTTCAACCTTGAGACAAGCGCGAAACTAGAGTAAGTAAACATTTGGAGCGAATCAGAGACTGAAGTTTCGCTCAAGCCATTTTTCATCTCTAAGTAAGATTTCACTATGAAACAAAATTATTATACTTTAAAAAATACCTATAATTAGGGGGGGGGGGGGAGAGGATCATAATTGTTGACGGCTTCGTGGCGCAGTGGCTTAGCAATTGAGTTGCAGCGGTAAGGGCCGCGGGTTCGAATCCCGCACGGAATAAGAATTTGAATGGTCTACAAATAATTGTTTGGTCATGTGCAATTTATGTTTATAAATTATCCCCACGATACAGTAGAAAACCCTAGTGTGGAGGTTTCGTTTTTTAATAGAAAAAAATAAAATTGACTATAAAAATGAATCTATGTGGTTACGTACGTGTTTAACTAATGTGTTAACGTCGTCTAGAAGTGCCAGTAACTGTGCCGCTTCCGACTGAGACAAAGAGCTGCCCGACTGTGCCTTTTGCTGCTGTTTTTCATCCCACGCTCTATGTTTGAAAGGAAGTAACAAAATAAGTTATTTTAAAGAGTAAAACTCTGATTTAAAATTTTATTCAAGTTAGGCTTAGGGAAAAACCCAATCCCCCCTGAACGGGTTCCAGCTTGTCGTGGTGGGAGGGGGGGGGGGTGTAGTAGCTGTGGCTTTGTCACCCATGGTGAACAAAGAGGAACCCACATGTCTGGCCCGAGGTGAAGGGCCAGCCCCGGGTGGCCATTTTGAGTTGGCTTGGCGATTCCCTATCCTTCGCAACACTGGCGGGTTGAAGCGAAGGTTGTGGGGCCGCGGGGAGAGACGTGTCGGTATTGCGAGGCGCCACTCTCCCCCCTACCCCTCGCGTCCGAAAGTTGATTGGCGATGGAGCCACAGATCAGACCCTTATCCAGAGGCTTATTCGCAAGTATAGTCCTGTCTGTGATGATGACCTAGTCCCAGTAAAACCTGGTGCGGTCAATTTCGAGCATTGCTTCCAGCAAGTATCTATAATAAGGCAGTTTCATATCCACGAGATCATAATTTAGAGCGAGCTCCTGGTGTAGAATCCTGGCTGGTGTAGGTGTTGTCTGTGTAAATACGCACAGTTAGAAAGCGCCGAACAACCGGAAATGACATGCCTAAGTGACTCACCGAGATAGCAACAACCTTGACAAATGTCGACGGGGCCATCACTTAGGATGTATCTCCGATAGATGTTTATCTTAATAACCTAATCCTGTATAGCACAGAGAAAACCCTTATTACTATTAAGCTATGTGTATTTATATTGTATTCTCATCTATTTGGACTGTATAAACATATGAAATAAATAAATCAAATGTAAGGATAAAAATTAAAAAGGCACGAATATTACGCGAAAAGTGACGGAAGTATGATATTAATGCAGTTACGAAAGATAAAGATATCATAAAACAGTTAAAAGGATGTGCAAGTAACAGAGATTGTTGCATAATATAAGTCGGTTGAAAAGAGAGAACAAATCATAACGAGTAATGGCTAAAATGTTTCATTTCAAATTATTTGGCGCTTGGCGAAAAATTTGTGTTAAATTAATATTTACCTCTCGAATATTACAAATATGTTTAGTGACGTTTACATCAAAAGTTTTTTAGTTGAACCACACATAAGATTCGTATTTAACGGTTATTTTTTTTTCGAATAAGCGAAATATATATAGACGCCAACGCACACCCACGCAACATTGAAAATTTGAAAACATAGATAACAATGATACATATAACAGAGTACAACCTAAATACAATAAGTTTATACCTAAATACAATCTACAAGGAGGAGGAGGAGGAGGATCGAGGAGGATCAAGTAAGTTTTCGTTGTAAAACTAAGGGTCATATTTCATATAATTGTAATGTACCACCACAAGTACATAAACAAATACTATAATTAACAAATATAAACAAAATAAAGCACAACAGTCTACTAGCTCAATTAATGAAAATAAAAATGTAAAAAAAGTCAATTGTGTACAAGAAATTACACCTAATATTACATTGATACCAGTTTTATTTAACAGCACAATACGAGGGTGACACTGAAAGTTTTTAGAAAATCAAAAACTTAACAAATTGGCAAGTTATTAGTTTTATTATATCTTTTCAAAATAGCAATCGCTGCATCCGATGGAACCACTGAGAATAGAACTTTGCTCACTTGTCATTTTCAAACGCAGCCACTGTTTCATCGGCGTCCATAAAACGTTTTACTCGAAGTTTTTCTTTTATTTTCGGAAAAAAATAAATATCGCAAGGTGCGAGGTCGGGGCTATAGGGCGGGTGACCAGCTGTGTCTCGCCAGCAATGCAAAACGGCATTTTTTGATCTTTATAAGTAATATAATATAGACAAGATAGGTCGAATCTATACTAAAACCGATTCAGAACGCCCCGACTCCACGTAGTCGTGTTTGCCCTACCCCTAGAGAGTTTTGTAAAGCCGTAGGCGCGGAGGGAGAGCAGTCCCCGCCCGCTGTGGCAAATCGCAGGCATCTGTGTGAGCCGTAGAGGCTGAGGCTGGTCGTCGAAGGTGACCAATAAGCCGAAGCTGCGGAGGTGAGCATGGAAGCCTGTGATTTGCTACGCAAGGTCGAAGGGGCTGCATTCCCCGCAGCGCCGAAGCCGTTGCAGAAGTAACTATGTCAATATTCCTGCAACGCAAATTTTAACAGTTCGTTGCGGTGAAAATTTTAGAGCACCTAATTTTTAAACTTGGCACCTAATCAGCACCTAAAAAGTCCCTAATTTTGGGTTTTTCTAAATGCAAATTCCTGATACAACTCGGGTGACCCAATAATTCCACGTCTGACGTCGCCAAGTAGTCGATTGTTTGGTTAGTGGTGTGCGAGAAGGCGTTGTCGTGGTGAAGGAGGATCCTACTGCAAGGTCGTTTTTTCCGAACTTTTTCCAAGACAAGTGGCAAGCAATTGTTAGTGTACCACTCTGGAGTAACTGTTTTTCGTCCTCTAAAACAATTTTTGCGTAATGACCTGTCCTTCCGAAGAAAGATACCACCATCTTTTTTCTCACGCTTCGACCTCTCTTAAATTTTGTTGGCAACTCCTCGGAAGGAAACATCCAGACAGCAGGCTGTCTCTTAGTTTCATGATCATAACAATAAATCCAGCTTTTGTCACCCGTAAGTATGTCGAACACAGCATTTGACACCAATCAACACGACGGAGTTTTTGGGCCTCTGTCAAATTATGAGGTATCCACTGTGGCCGTAGGAAAGAAAAGGGGAGATCTCCCGCCGGGCAAGGTGTTCAGCCCGGGGAGCGGCCAATGCTCCAAGTGGTAGTACGGAGCTATTCTATATATACTGCTTTTAACTTTGGAAGTTTGTTAGTGCGATTTAGGATTCGATGTGTTTCGCTTGTGGCGTGACGACAGCGCCGCCACATCACCCCCCTGCTCAGACCGGAGGTCGATAGTGCAATTAGATTGCAAGTGCCAGGGATTGCCTTGTAGTCTGCGGTGAGTCGAGAAGAAGGCAAGTAATCTGCGAGAGTGCCGTGAAGCAGAGGCGAGCCTTTGTAAAGCTAGATGGCTTGCAGAATTTGAAGACTGCAGACAATATCTGCTCGGGAGCGAATGAATGAGGTACTTGAGGATGATGGTTTTGAAGTTGTAGTTTCCGAAGGTTGTTGGTTGCGTGTTCATATCACGTCGGTTGGTCACCACTGTAGCGGGTGGAAGGAAACGGGGAGATCTCCCGCCGGGAAAGGTGTTCTGCCCGGGGAGCGGAGTTTGGAGCTATTCTATATATTAGCTATTTTAGTGCGATTTAGGCTTCGATATGTTTCACTTGTGGCGCGACGAGTGCCGTCACATCCACCAGGCACAAAGCTTCCTGACCGCTAAATGTTCATAGAGAATTTTGTACATTTCACTCATATCGATGCCTAAGCTTGTCCGAATCTGCTGATAAGTCACTCTTTTGTCGGTCTCTATTATGACAGAGAACACTGATGTTATCTTCAGTCGTCGCCGTAGAAGGCCGTCCCTCACGTAGATCATCGGTGAAATTAGTGCGACAACGTTTAAACTCATTAAACCAGATGTAAACAGTGGCACGAGATGGGGTTTTATCGTGAAAGGCCAATCGAAGTCTATCATAACATTCTTGTTGAAAGTCATAAAAAATCATTCTACGACAACTTTCTCGCGTTAAATTCATGCTGACGTGACACAGACAATTTTCTATTTGCCACCAAATCGTAAAAAAATGAGAAATTAATAAAATACATACACAATAATATTGGCAAAGAGTTCCATTTTCAAAATTTGAACTTATTTTTTTTTCATTATATCGTTTACAAGGGGCCAGTTCTAAAAACTTTCAGTGTCGCCCTCGAACAACTTCAAGCACTTACGAATTCAGAGTCTGTTATTACGTTAAAAGATAAAAATTGTATACCAGTGGATACTCAAGTCAGTCCTTGGCAGAAGGGATATTATAGAGTAGCAGGTAATACTTACTTACTTACCCCTACTGGAGAGATCCCCTGTCTGCGAGAGTGCAGGTAGGAAAAATGTATTATTTCATGCCTCAAATAGCTATCTGTGAGAAGTTACCTGTACCAATGAATATAGAAAAAGATTGGCAACTTGCTGTTTATGAACGTATTATTCATGATGGAAAGATATGTATTATTAATCCCACACATAACGAATATTTTCCGAACATATCTAAAGAAGATGCTTTGATAGCTTGTTATATGAAAATTACACAGAACTATAGGAATAAAGTAATACAGTTAGTTTCTGAATATAATGATATTTTTAAAAATGACTCAAATGATATATGGAAGTTCCCAGATTTTGAACTGGAAATAAAACAACACAATAAGCCCATCAGCTGTGAATAGAAAAAGATTACCAGAACCAGAGTGTTTATTTCTAAAACAAACAATAAAAAAATGTTTGGACCAAAAAATTTAAAGATTGTCAAACTATGCAGCACCAATATTTGTAATATCAAAACCATTTCATGAAACCATACCATACATACCAGTAGTAGATTATTCGAAAAAAAAACCCAATTACCATTCTAGATCCTCAACCAATTGAGAGAATGTATGATATAATTGCAACTGTTTCCCGATTTGTCTATAAGTTTAAACTAGATATTTTCCATACTTATCACAACATCTCTATTAAAGAAGAAGACATTTTCAAAACTGCAGTTGTCTCATAAGATTAGCATGTAGAGTTTATGTGAGTAATGTTTGGTTTAGAAGGACCATCAATTATGACAAAAGTAGTAAAAAAACTTATGCAACATTGTTTATTGATGGAATAATGACATATTTCGATGACATCATTGGTGAAGCTGATTCAATTGATGATGGTATAATAATTTTAAGAAAAGTTTACGAATTAAATTTGACGAAAAAACTAAAATTAAACAAGGAAAAATGTGTTTTTATTGACACAGAAATACCATTATTTGGAAAATTAGTGAGTTCTCAGCAAGAAAGAGTAGATCCAAAACGTACAATAGCTGTTGAACAATATGAGACATTATCAACACTCACACACTCACTCACACTATCAGATGAACAACAAACTCATTTATTACATAAAAAAAATAATAACATCAGCACTTGTTTTACCTAATTTTCAGCAAAGTACAAAAACTATTGTGACGACAGATAGCAGTCACATAGGAATGTGTGCATGTTTATTACAAATTCAGGCCGGAGAGAAAAAAGTTATAGAATATGCAAGCGTGTGTTTGAAAGATGCTGAGAAAAGATACCACATAAATGAATTAGAAGTTACGACAGTTCATTGGGCGATTGTAAATAAATTCAGATTTTATTTATTAGAAATAAAGTTCACATAGATGACACATAGCTATTCTACAGCCTATATTATTGACAGAGCTAAATTAAACAGAAAATTTGCACGCTATGTAATGGATTTAGAAACATTTGAATTTACTCCTGCGCATAGACCTGGTAAACAGAATTTATTCGCAGACCATTTATCACTCTACCCTTTAAATGAAGTTTGTTTAATAGTTGTTAGCAGTAATTCGAAGTACTTGAAACAAGCTCAAATTAAAGACCCTTTTATTCAACAAATTTTAACTAAACGAAATAACTATGTAAATCTACAGCTCATATAAAATAGCAGATGGAATTTTAGTACATGTTAATATGGAATTAATATACGAAAAGACTAAAATTGTTCTGCCTTATAGTATAAGAACATCAGTTATTAAAATTGCACATGAGTTAATTGACATCTACGGAAGGTTACTATATTAAATAAGATAAAAACAAAATACTGGTGGAAAACATTGAGAAGAGATGTAAAAGCATATACATCAGCATATATTATTTGTGCTAAAACTAATCGACGTACTAGGTTAGCCTATGGAGAAATGAAACACCGAGCAATACTAGAAACCTCACTGAAAATAATCTCACCCAACCACACTGTGGCATTACTAGAAGCTTATCAGGTAATACTGACATTTTTATTTATATAGACCATACAACAAGATACATCTACGCAAAACCAACCTTTTCATTATCAGCACAAAGTGTAGTGGATACAATTGAAAATAATATTATATATGTATGGACCCTCTTTGACGTACATAGCTGACAGTGCACAATGTTCTATAAGCCAGGTAATTCAAGATTTATTTCAAAAATATGGTTTTTTGACGACTTCACCCTATATAACTTAATCAAAAGGATTATGTCAAAAAGCCAATGCTGTTATAATAGCTACACTGACCACATTTTGAATGGAAAATAAAAAGAACTGGGACAAGTTATTGCCAAATACTGTTAATATTAGCCATAAATAAACAAGAAACAACTGGATTTTCACCTTTTTATTTGTTATTTGAATATGAACCCAAAACACAATACACATTGCTACAATTTTTGAAGATATAAATAGAAACCATCATCTTCATACTTTATAAGAAACAAGAGAAATGGCCACAATAAAATTGAAGATATTTTTACAATGAAAACAGATTTAAATTAAGAAAATTACAGCATAATTTTAAGAGGATTGATTATGTTATGTATGAATGGCACATGCCAAATGATACAAAATTATCTCCAAGACAGGAAGGTCTTGTATTAGGTACTAGGATCAGTATGCTATAAAATAGAAGATATCAACAAGTCTTCCCTCAAGAAAACCTTAAACTTGCACATAATTTAGATTTTATTTCGGATATTTCAGCTTAATCAATACAAGAAATTGATAGAATATCTTCTTAATAACCAACCTTAAGAAGGCAAACGTAATATCGAGGAAATGAGAACAGTGACGTTGAAATAAAAGATTACGCACAATACACAAGGGGAAGAGGAAGAAAAACAAGAAAACCAATTACTTATAAAATTTAATTCTTTTTTAATATAATGGTCTATATTATTTATTACATACTATATTATTATCATCATTATGGTGTAACAAAGTAATTGTTAAAAATTAATACTTCTTAAGTTAAATTATAAAACAGTTGAGTACAAATTAAATTATTATAAATAAAGTATTAATCTTAATCTACTTGCTGTAGTACATTTGCTATTAATACATTTTGTAAAAAGAATTAAGTAGTCAGAAGGAAATAGTTAAGTTTCAATTTTGTTTTTGTTTAGTAGTGAATAAATGTTACTTTTTTTTCTTTTATTTCATAAATCTTTAAGATAAGGATGACAGTTGCAGAGTGAGTGTTTAAATAAAAGAGCATGTAAGGAGTGAGTGTAATTAAAAATTTTACAAAACTTTGTAAATTTTAAAAGGCATGTGAGGATAAAAGTTGAAAAGGAACGTAAGTTACTTTCAAAGGTGACGGGAGTATGGTAGCAATGAACGATAGAGAAAGATATACGTAGTTAAAAGGATGTGCAAGCGAGATATATTGTTGTATAATATAAGTAGGTTGAAAAGAGAGAATAGATCATAATGCGTAATGGCGAAAAATATTTCATTTCATCTTACACAAAAATACATAAATAAATAAAAACCTCACCAGATGGAAGTCAAGGTAGTGGAGACCAAGCGGCCGAGGATTAGTGGCAAAGGGAAAAAAAACGGCGCAACGTCGTCTGCATTTGAGCCTGGAGTTGTAGGTCACGGAGTCGCAGTTGGCTCAGATATGCCTGTCGGCTGAGCGGGATGCTACTGTACCTAAGGCTGGTCTCGAGCGCGCGCGAGCGGCACAGCATCTGCGCGCGGTTCTTGTGTATGATGCGCACGCAGCCGGGCGGCTGCAGCCACGCCTCGCCGTCCACCTGCACCGGCACGCACTCCTCGCCCAGGATGTTGATCTGCACGGCGCGGCACTGCGCGATGCGGTGCTTCTGCAGGTTGATCAGCCGCGACGCCGCCATCTGCGCCGACCCGAACACCGCCACCACCTCCGACGAATACGCAAACCTTTGTTTTAATAACCGGGGACGAGCCAACGTTTGTTGCAATCTTAAAGCATCTAATATCTAGATAGATAATTGCGATCAAATATACGCAGAAATATTTTTATTACGTACATTTTTTAACTGCGTTTCCAGTTCTGAATATTTGTACCGAACAAACAAACAAACGGACAGACATGTCTGTGATTTTGACAAGACATGTTTGTGCATCGTCATTTAGTTTTAGGATATTTTTAAAGTTTTAAATCTCAAACTCATCGGCAAGTAAGTTTAAAGACAAGAAAGCGAGTTATTTAAAACGTAATAAAAAAAATAACAGCAATCGTACATATAACTCTAGTGGGAATCGTGACTTCGTTTTAACGTTGTGTTTGTGTTTGTTTCAAATGTTTCATTTCGTTGTATTGTGCTAGTGTATTAGTATCAATTATATAAGCTGATTCCTTTTTTACATTGACGAGTATCTTAATTTAGGTTACAAAATATTATCATAACGAAAGAAACATATTCCCATTTGTAAACGATTTCCACCAGTTATACAATCGCACTGCTGGTCAATTTATCCATTTTTTATAAAATCTTGTAGTTCTTTACCTCGAGAATTCTGTCATCGAACGAAGGAGCAAGAAATATATCGTCTGCTCTAGTTCCGCCCCAGAAGTTGGTACCCCCCATGAACGATGAAATATTCAGCACTACGATGCCCTGGAGTTCTGGTAATGGTATCCTCTGTCCATCGCACTCAAGTTGCACACGTTGTCCAAGATGTCTGAAAAAAAGTAAGCGTGTTAAGTTTTAATTTAGTTGTAATTAAGGAATTGCTAACTCAATAATAAGTCGAATTGAACGGGAATGATTTTAACTCTTCTAAAGAACACGAAAATGAATGAAATAATGAAAAATAAGGATTTTATAAGGATTAAAACTTTGATGGTTAAATTAAACACTACATATATAGAGGTAGGGAAGTAACATGAAGATATCCTATTAAAAAGAAGAAAGAAAAGCTCACCTGTAAGTTCTATTGACCCATTCCTTCGATCCCAGCACGCCGTACCACATGTAATTTCTCGCCCTGGATCTACACTTCTCTGGATGTTCCTCTCTTTTATTATGAAAATCCAAGGTTATCTTCGCATCGATACCAATTCCAAAGTAGTTGTTCATTACGGCTTTTTCATAAAACCCCTCTAAAAGAGTATCATCTGGATCCATCAGTGGACTTACAGCAGCGCACAAAGCGTCAGCGTTAGCCAAAAGGCACTGGCTTATAAATCCTTGTGTGACGTGAGGCCAACTGGGTAGTTGTACCAGAGGATTAATGATTGGCAATTTCTTGGCACGTTCACTCGTATCGGACTTCGAAGAACCCATATTGCCCATGACACCACCTTCACCCCATATTGAAGATACCGATGTGGATAACCTGCTTTGGGAAACGAAGAAGTCGTTGAATTAACATCGTGTTGTGTATTTGCGAGCACTACGTACATTGCAAGTGACGCATAACCAAGACAAAACTATACTAAACATTTGCATTAAAAATTATTTGCGACCAACAACATGGTTTAGGTGCACTTGTGAAGTTTTACGGGATGATAAAGAAAGAAAGAAGAAAGATGTGTGTGTGAGTGTGTGTCAAGAAATTGAGTATGGTTTCGGCATCACTTGAAATGTACGCAACGCTCCGCCTACCTTTCTTTGTTGGTCTGAGTATTGGATAGCTTTAATCAATAAGTTTCGTTCGTATTTTAATTTAAGCGAAACAGAATATGTGTTGTTGATCGGTCTGCGCTGAAATCATATATAAATTTACACATGAGTCTAAAGAATTTATTGGCAATTGATTTCAATTTTTACAACAGTATGTTTTTAAGTTAAAAGAGTTAAGAAACCATGTTCAGAGGTGGCCTGAATCGTGATGTTATTCTTAGTAAATTTTGAAACACATTGTGAATATGTTCATGGTCAGGAATCTTTAAGTAACTTACTTGTCAGGTTCTCCCGGCTTGAAAAGGCTGCCGCAAGATATTCGTCTAGTAGCTGCAGGTGAACAACTGAGAAATTTTCCATACTCAGGATCTGAAGAGCCTAAGAGCTTCGGGTTATCCGATTGCCTTCTCTCCCTACTGTTGGTAATGTTTGGTTCTGGAGAATGAACACTTAATGTATCAGTTCCTGGCTCGAAGATGTCATTAAGAACTGATGCCATACGACTTCCGTTATTCTTCAGGCTCTTTTTTCCTTCACTTTGTGATGGTGATGGCGGTTCAACTACGACACTAACTTGGGGAAACATTGGCACTTGATCTTTTACTTTAGTAGTAATTTCTTCGTTGAGAAGCATTGTCGGTTTAGAAGAAGCTCGAATAGGAGAATCTTCTTTTGGGGTCTGTTCTTCTGCAGTTTTAGGCAAAAGATGTTTCACAGTACCATCATCGCCTATACGCTTTTTGATGCTTTTCTTATGTTGCTTTCGAAAAGACTTCCTAGCTATATCGCTTCCTTCTTCAAACTGCGCTAAGCTGCAATACTTGATTTGATCGTCGGCTTTCGGTGCGTTTTCAATGTAGAAGACTCTATTTTCGAAACCAAACTTTTCTACCTCGGGTTCTTTTCGCTTTTTAACTTTGGAAAAGTGTTTTGTTCTTCCTTCAGTTTTTCTTTCTAAGCTAGGGTTTCTGCTATCCATAGGAATGTCCGAAACCGTATCCGAGGTAAACAAGGTTGTGTCATCGGTGTATGTTTCGTTATCGCCATTCTTACCCATCATAGCTAACAGGACTTCCTGTCCAAGCATAGAACTAATATCATCCATAATTGACTCACCATGAATTGTTTCAGAGTTGGCATATGTCGTCTCTGAGATCTCAGGTGAATCTATATGCCCTATACCGCCTTCGACAAGATCCTCCGGTTTAGTGTCAATTATCTCCGACATTAAACTAAAATCTTCACTAATGTTTGACCCCTCTGAACTGCTCGCATCTACCTCCAAATCTACACTAGAAAGCTTCCGTTCTGGCGTACAATCACCACTAGCTGATGTGATTCTCTCGCTCAATTCTCGGAAGTGAACATCGTCCGTATACGGTCTGTCGATATCTATAATAGTCAATTGGTCCGATTCATAAGTTTCTCCCTGTACTATCGAATGTCTCTTATCACTATCACTCGAGATAACTAAATTTGGTATTGTTAGGCTGCTGCTATAGGCCGTGACTCGATCCGTGTCTGGCCTTAAGCGATTTTTGCAGGAGCTAGTATCGCAGGAGGACAGATTTGATATGGAAAGGCGGTCCTGCGGTGAGACTAAGTTCAATTTGTTGGGGTCTGGTTTTTCTACATCTAGCGTTTGTTGTTGTTCTCCTGGTTGTGAATTCAATAAATTAGCTATGTCTTCATCTACGTCTGGAATGCTATAAATAAAAAAAACAGTTTTATTAGTTTTACTTTACTTTATTATAAATTGTGAAAAAGTGAGAATTAATAATCAATTTACTCTTTTATGTTCTAGTAATTTATTTAATGGTCTTTTTATGCCTAGCTTACGTGATATCTAAATTAGTTCTTACTTTTCAGAATGCAGCGAGGCAGCTGAGACAGCAGAGGCTGCAGACGAGCGTCGACTGTCCGCGAAGGCTCGAGGTACGGGTAGCGTGTCAGTAGCGGTTTCAACGCTCGATACCTTCAATCCACCGCTTACGCTCGCTTCACCCCCGTCACCCCTGCTATCCTCAATGCCCACATTGCCCCTATCGCCTTCACCAGATACCTCGTTCCAGCCAACCGCCTCCTGCGGTACGGCCTGCGATTAATTATGGAATTGGTGCGTGTCAAATTTCCTAGATATCTGTAAGTATTATTATTGTGTACAAATTTGAAATGATTCTCCATCAATTTCTAAGGCTACATCATCGCTCTAATATTAGTACCTCAAAATCATTTTCTAAATTCTAGACTCTATATTTTAGGTGTTACGTGTCTTTTACGTTTATTTTCTTCTATGAAGTTCATCTACTATCTTCTTATCTATTTTGACCGTATGTAACGATATACCGTTGTGTTCCGGTTTGGTCGAGCAAGGGAGCGACTTTATTTATCAGCAAAGTTATTTATAAAAAATACTAGAATATCGTCTCGTAGTCAAAATGTGGTTTTGAGCCAACGAATATTCAAGTTTGCGGTCCGCACTTGTTATGTATCATATCTAGAGCATCATAACTTCGACCGTTATTAAACGAATTACATACAAATTTAAGAAAATTTGCATTTTTTCGATATAAATAACAATTTTAGGTAAATATATTATGCTTTAATATATATCTATCAGAACTCCCCTACCCCTCACCTTTGACTTTTAAAATAATGCAAACAAATATTTAAAAGAAAATGTAAGTAAAAAGAAAACACTAATTGTTCCTACAGACAGATTAGTCTATGGACTTTCCTATTTGAGTGTGTGCGTGCATGTGGTGTTCTAAGTGCGTATTTTTCAAAGTGTGCCAACGTACTTGCGGATAGATGTGTGCGAGCGTGCGCACGAGCGAGCGCAGCGCACGACGCACACTGTCGGCGCGGCCAGCCAACGAGCAGCCACGAGCCGCCAAATTCAACTGTTCCTGTCACCAAACATATAACTACCTAATAAAGGTTAAATATGGCGTAAGAATGTCAAGATCTTCCCTCATTACCATTGAGACCTTCTTGACAACCTTTTAGTTAAATTAAGCACTCAAACATTGGCTAATTAAGATGAAATAATTAAATAATTTACTTGGTATTCAGTCATATATAGCTATTATATAACTTTTATATTACGAAAAAACACATACACTTTTTATAGTGCAGATTTAAAAAGTACTAATAACGTGCTCACGGTGCCTCCTATCGGCTCCAGATATTTTAATCTTTTGACACTTAATTGACTATTGAATAGGAGTCATTTTGTTCCACATTTTTATGATAACTTAATGCTGTTGTGTTTCGTATGGTGAGTGTAGGAAACTGGAGATCCTTTTAACTAAAAACGAGACATTCAAGCTTAGTCCTCAGGGGTGACAATGCGTAAACCTTAATCGAGGACAAATACAGATGTTTACGAGCCTCAGCATCCACTTACTATCAGGTGGCCCGTGTACTCGTTTGTCATAAACATAACCTATTTTATAAACATCGTCTCGACAAAATTAATATATTGTGTGAATACAATCCCAATCGGTTAAATCGTTCAGAAATTACACGATCACTAACAGACACACTAACGATTATAGAGGTCCAATTATCTAAAATCACGTATATAATATGAGCTTCATTTCAAAAGTGGAAATTGTGAAATCATTATTACCTTAAACAATTTACAACTATTAACAGTTTTATACTAATACGACATTACTTTTAACTAAACATTTCGTTAATTACCTTTTCAGTCTTTTCGATGCTGCCCTTCTCAGCAACAGGTTGTGTTTCCGGCTCGCTATCGCTGGTTGTCTCTAACGGCTCCCATGACCTAGGACGGACACTGTTATTGCAATCTGCTTAACTATTTTAACGTTTACTTTAGTTTACATTTAATATTTGCAATTAATGTTTCTTTCTTTCTTTCTAATAAAAGCCGAAGAATTATTTGCTAAAGCTGTAGAATAAATAAAACGATTTTATAAATTCATGCTAATGAAATAACTTATTCATTAGCATAGGTTTTTACTTGCTTAAATAGAAGGTTATGTTGATATATGATTTTCTTTGAATATTATAATTAAAATAAAGGAAATCATAATTAAAAATGATTGTGTGAGTAATAATAATATAATTTAACTTTTAATAAAACAGACCGAATTCAAAAGGTATTCTAGAATGCCGTCTAAATAGTTACATTAAAAATTTCATCCCCTGTTTTTTCAGCCATAGGAACGAAATTTTTCTTTAAATTTTTATGGAACCACCACTGAAGTATAATCCATATAATCGGTGAACATACATAAAAAAACATATGCGTCGAATACAATACAACAATAAGTTTATTACGCTTCATACTTTTTTTGTTCTTTGGATTCCATTTAGAGGTATTTCTGTAACATTCAAAATGTCGTTCTAAGGTTCATTGCCAGGCCCTCTGATATTCCATTTATATATTTTAGAAAAACTGTTTTGGTAAACTCACACAAAACACTTAGATGATAATAATAATAATGTGTATTTTTATTTTTTTATGTATTTATTCTATTTTACTGATGTTTATGTATGTTTATCATTTTCGTTTACAATTATATATTTATACAGCCCAACCAGATGAGAAAACTGTATAGATACCCCACATAATAATAATAATTATCATCTAAATTAGTAATTTTATTTATTAAATTATTTGATATCATGTATTTTATTAAATGACTACAAAACGAAAATAAAATGGCACAAATAGTGCATAATATTGCTGCATGCGATAGCGAGATTGTAGTGTTGACTTATCCAATCTATTTTACGGCAAAGGATACTTACTTACATAAGCTTCTAAACTATTTGTGGGTATGACTACCATTACTTGCTTGTTTAAACGCTATTGAATTTCAGTGACATATCTGAAGTCGTGTTTATTATAGGAGAATTTACTGTATATCGCAAATGATCTAGTTTATGCAACTACTGCTATTTCTATTTTCTATTTTATAATAATTAAAAGTAGAAAAAAATACAGACTTTCTTTTAAAGATATGTAGAAGGCGTGTTAGGCAGTGAGGGCTAGACGTGTTTGGATAACTATGTGCTTCTAATGAGGATATGACAGCTGACCTGCACAACACACGGTCGTGTGTTGGACTGCTGCAATGGCAACCAAATCACGTCCCGAGGCCCAAAACAGAAGTAAAATATAAATGCTTTTTAATGGATTGCTTTTAATTTATTATTATTACGATATTATTTATTAATATGATATTATTTACATTTATCACACGATTTTGCATTTGTGACATAGATGTTTCGATGTTTTTATGTTGCATTACCGACGCCAATTAAACATTCTATTACAAAAAGTGGTCCCAAATTACGCTACAATTTGATTACAAAGGTTACACTTACAAAGGTGCCACATTTTGGAACGGTTATAGTTAAGGTATCGTTTTTGGTTTAGGAACAGTTTCGAAGAAGGAATGAATATTAAAATACTTTTGAGAGGCGGTCGTCGCACATAGTCCACCTGATGGTAAGTAGATGCTGTGGGCCATACAACATTTACATCTATCCTAGATTAACGATGCAAATGCAGAATGTCATTCTTAGAGACTAAGATGGAATGCCTCATTATCAGTTTCAGTTATCAGTACTTCATTCCTTCCTTTTTGTCCACTGGCAAAAGTACAACTGTACGAGTCAATTGCCAAAAAAGGAAGAAAAAAAACAGGGCGTGGCTGTATCGTGGACACGTCCGTTTGTTTCACGTGAATACGTATACGTAACGAAACGATCTCAAAACAGTCCTCAGTCAACGCAACCAATTCTTTGATTCTTTAGCTTTCGAGTGGTGTAATTAAATTTTGAATGTAGATGGTAGATATGTAGCTACAATATCAAACTGTATCACTCGATTTTGTTATCATTAGTTTTTTGAATTGCCTCAAAAACAAAGTGGAAAGAATAATTCGCGAGGCTATTGAAATCAAAAAACACATACACAAGGCAAAGTGGCAGATTGTACTCTTCGGTCTTCTGTACAATTTGCTGAAATGTATGTATGTGGTCTATGGCACTAAAGCCTTTTCGGAAACCGGCTTGTTCGGGAGGCTGGAAGTCTTTGATTCTGTGTGCGAGGTGATTGGTAATGACTTTCGAAAATAGCACCTAGACGCGGCTTAAAGGGGAAATCGATCTGTAGTTCTTCAAGAGAGCGTTGTCGCCTTTCTTGAAGAACAAGACCACCGCGCTTCTGCTCCACGTCTCCAGAGTAGTCCTTCCATGGAGGACGGAATTAAAGTACTTCTGAAGGATTTCAAGTACCGGTTTTCTACCCGTTTTTAGAAGTAATTCCATTCTCGCCTGGGGCCTTGCCGTTTTTAAGGTGCTTGAGAGCCATTCTAATCTCGCTCAGACTGACGTCCGGGATATCATCGAAATTAATCAACCATCTGCTTGGGATCTCATAACTAATAAAATTAAATCCTAACCCAAGCACATAACTGCAAGATTTCAAGATACTATAAGTTCGTACTGCGTAGGTCGGACAACAAATAATAATTTTAATCTGAAGGTAGTAGCGTCTAACACCTCAGTGTCCCCGTGACCATGAATATTGGGAAGTGCTTAAAACATCGGCAATATAAAATAAGTTAATATATGCGATAAATGCCCAAATACTCAAACGGTACTCATGTTTAAGATGTCGTTAAGTCTCGTGTAAGACTTAAATCTTAAAAACGACTAGCACTTTTGGCCGAAAATCAGTTAAAACAAGTTTTCTTTAAAAAAAGGTGATGGCTCTGTGGCGTAGTGGTTTAGCAAAGAGTTAATGCGCTGGGGGCCGCAGGTTCAAATCCTGCACGTTAAGTATTTGTATGGCCAACAAATAATTGTTTCGGGTCTGGATGTTTGTCCTTGTGCAAGTTATGTATGTAAACTGCCTTACTATACAGGAGAAAATCCTAGTGTAGGGGTAACGATTTTATTAATAAATAAATAAAACTGAACGTAGAGTGACCTGCAGCGCGCGTGGTCGTGCGCGAGGTGCGTGCGCGCGTGCAGCAGCAGCGACAGCGCGCGCCGCAGCCGGTGCGCCGCGCGCGCCGCGCCGCCGCCCGCGTGCTCGCCCGCCGCCGCCAGCCGCAGGCAGCCCGCGCGCAGCGACGAGCTAGCCGCCGGGCTCACCTCGCCCGCCTACGTCACACCGAACACCGATGTACATAAGACATAGAGTAGCGCACATTTTTTGTTTGGAATAGCTTCTCTAGTACGTAGAACATATAACTCAATGGATATGCACTTCAAACACTAATGACGTGACCCAAGTGGGAAAAGAATACGCATGCACGTACCTATGATTAGACATAAGAACAAGGAAGAAGCAAAACCTTTCTATCCTTTTCTGTATTTCGTCGTATATTTATTTAGACTCCTAAATAGTTACATTGTTTAATCCAGGTAAAGTACCTACTGCTTATCTCTGTCTCAAAAGTACTAATAATACTCCATCTATGGACAGCGCCCGACAATACTTTTTTTTTATAAAACTGAAGTGACAAACGAACCAATTATAATGTTTCATACGTATTATATTATAATATCTTTGATTATAATCATTAAAACGAACTTACAATCATCCATCCACGCCATAATCAAGTCGGACTGTAGGCAAAGATATTGGACCATACAGTCTTATGGCTTAAGAATACTTTTCTACTGTCTACACATTAGCTCATTTTAATTAAATTTTATTGTAGCTATGTGTATAAGCCAATACAATTTAATATGTATCACGATCTGGCTTAATTTTTTTACTAAATATAAAAGTATCTAACTTTTAATTAACATATTATACTCCTTTTTATTTAGTATTGATAGTAACAGAAATATGTCCGACAACTGTTCGGTAATATGAGGCACCGATAGAATATGAGCGCTATGGCCCTGGTATATCATCATGCAGATTCGAATGCCTTTTAGTTGTTGCAACTCTATGTATTTGCCTATATAGTTCTTATTTTTTGTAGTTGTAATTTATTTATAATATTATCATCATTGTGTTTTTTATGATAATAAAAACATTAATTCATTCAATAGTAAAGTAGTAGTTATTTGATAGAACCACGCTGCAGCCAACAGCTATATTATGGCTGTCATCCCGACAACACGTATTGGAGAAACACTTCGGAATAACTGCTCCATATCCCCCTCAGAAAGAAAAGGTCTCTGCTCAGCAGTGAGACACAATATAGGCTGTAGCATTTACTTGAACTTTGAGAAATCATCCAACTCGAAGTATACAATATGTCAAAAAATAGATCCGTGAGGGTGCGTTTAGGTACGGTGATATGATTATGTTCGTGCAATCCTTTTCAGATAATAAATTTAAAAAAAAAATAACCCGCAAAGCTCTAAAAAAATGGGGAAATTTAAATGAGGCGCACGTGGCTGTTAGGTAACAAATAAAAATACCGTCACTTGTTCAAAATTACCGTCGACAACGATGATGTTGCCAGATTAAAAAAAAACTAAATTATTTAAGGTAATTTTAAGCTAATTGTATTTAAAAATTTAAAAAGTATATTTAAATAACAATGACATTTTTATATTTAATAAGTATTTTAAATTATTTATTAAATAAAGAGTAGCACTCGTGGTACGTTTTTGCGAAATCATATAGTAAAGAAAAATAATTTTGCTCGCACTCCGCATTAACTTCAAGTGTGTTGCTTAGGGAATGTAAATAATGATATTTCGTATAATAAATTTAATATTGAAGTTGCGGGAAGTCCTCATGGTGTCATAAATATTGAAGTATAAGAGTGGAGTTGTTAGTATTCTTATCTTGCATGGCTACATGTATAGTATACAGGGTTATTTTGCAAAATACACTCAAATTTTCAAAAAAGGTACATAATAAGTAACATAGGTGAATACTGAAGAAAATTTAATTAAAAAATCTCAAACATTCTTTCCTTTTTATTTTTTAAATCCAGAATACGTGGCGTTACATTATTTTAACTGATTGTCATTCATAAATAACTAACGCCTACTATTTTACTACGCACGCACACCACTTTAGTAAGGGTTGCTCAGTCGGAAAAACCGTTATGAATTGAATCGCACACATAAGAGCGCGCGTACGTGTAGTTGATGCCCATAAATCACATTCAATTCGGGATTATTTCAAATCAAAATAAAAGCCTTATTTACTCTTATTTTCATAAACTTCAATAACGGCATAAAATTATTTGTATGTATATTTGAACGTAAATATAAAATTTGGATAGTCTTCGAAAATTAACCCGGTATTTTTATTACCCACCTGCATAATATCTTGCAAGTTCTTCAGAAGCGTGGACTCATCGAGCAGATCAGGCGGTACTGGGGGCGGCGGTGGTGCCGTCAGCGCTCGCTCGAACGTCATGATCGACCATCTGGCATTTACGAACAAAACATATCGAGGATTTACGCTATGAAATGACACCTCAAGCGAGTCCTTAGGGGAGTTCTATTGCGTTACGTCTGCCACTAGAATGAAAACTCGTCTCTCCGCTTAAGTAGAAACCTGCTGTTTTACAGACTCTTAGGTTATATTCGTAAGAAAGAACATATTTATTTCTTATTACAATTATTGAATATAAAATAGGAGTAAAAATGAAAATACGATTCAGTATAACGCTAACAGAGTTATCGCAGCGCTAATAATATGATTGTAATAATTATGATGATTCGTTGAGCATATGCTTGCCCAAGCTTATCGCGAAACCGTGTAGTAACGGCGTAAGAAAATCCACTACCATATGTCACCCCATGGGTATGGTAAGAGCGGATAGAGGAAATTGAAACATGAGACGGGTAGCAGAATCTTCCTGGTAAAAAATCTAAATAATAAAAAACTACAGTTGCCAACCTACCTCAAGCGTGGCAACTATCAAATATCTTCCCTATGAGAAAATCTATGGTGGAAGGCCTGTGTTCAGCAGGCTGGCTTGATAGACTGCGATGTTGATGATGACAATGATTTTATTTAGAATTTATAGACAGTTTCTTACGAGTACTTCATCATTTAATATTTAACGAACTTTTTCAGCACTTTAGAAATAATTTCCTCCTCAGGGCCGAGGATTGAGGATTAGATGTTATTTTAATATATATTACAATATTTAATTTTACAGTAGCATCTTATAGTTAATCCACAGAGAAAATTTATTCCAATAATTAATGCTATCTAAAGTGCTGAAATTCGTTAAGTAACATATCGTTAAGTTACAGAACTTTTTAAAATGAATTATTAAGAAATTGCTTCACTAATTGCGTTTATCTATTTTTGGAAATTACTCATCCCTTTTTTCTCGTTATTTAATTCATTAATTAAGGGAAAAATTTCAGAAGGACCATAATTTTCCTTTTAACGTAAAATGAAGGTTGTTTTTTAATCACTTTTATTTTAACATTTTTGGGCAGAGTTTAGTGTATTAAATATCACACATTCTTGTAAACCAGTGACCACCCGATTTGGATATTTAAAATAATCATCAAAGGCAATTTATTGCATCAGTTTTTCGAGTTCTCGAAAAAAATTCTCCAAGTTCGGATAAAATATAATCTAGATTTTTATCACTCCTGGAATTGCTCTCTATTTGTTCGTGAAGTATCATGACAAATTTCGAAGATTAGTCTTAACCCCACAGGTACTAGTATTTCTTGGCAACTCATAAAAAATAAAATAAAAAATAAAAATGATGTGAAGTATGAAATTTTATTGCTCCGTTCACTCTATTGAGTACTACGGCTACAATTTTATTAATAATGAATCAATTTTCTGTGGGAATAACCGTGAATGTTTGGCCTTGCCATCGTGCATTAGTCAATATATAGCCAATTATAGAGGCCAAGGTGCCTACCACTAGTACCTGCGGGGCTATCCATTACTTACCGGACAGCCTGTAGATGTGATATACATGAACTTACAAGATTTAATTTTTTGTGTCCTACGACATTTGAATACAGGTATCTTATTCTGTGACATTGTTTCATTGTTAATCTATGGTTTTATAGAATCTAAGGCATTTGTAAATTGAAGTTATTTTCCGAACTATTCTTTTAAATATAATATATTGTATTCCAATGGAAATTCTATCGTATATGTGTTTCTTAGTAAGTTCCTTAACTATTTTCTCTGCTTTTTATTTAGTATAAACGAAGTTAATAAAACAAAGGAAATTTTAAATAAGATTAAAAAATATAGGATTTTTTCTATGTTATCTCTATAGCTGTAACGTTTCATAACAATAACTTGAGTTTTTTTATGCCTTGCTATTAAAACTCAGCCATTATCTGCGACTGGTTTGGTAAACATCAGTTACGTTACGAAGATGGAGTATCACGAGTAGAAAACACATAGCCTAAGAGCTGGTGACAAATTTTTGGGAAGGTATTTTAATAACTGAAAACCCTACAAAATGTATGACTTGGATTGTATTTGCGATTAAAGACATAATTTTTTTATTATAACAAATTCGTGGTTAATAATTGGCTAAAAATTCTTTTAGTGAGATGGCGAACTGAGTCTGATCCCCGTTGATATTACTGAAATTTTAAATTGCAATATTAAGTATCTAAAATTGCACGGCGGTGAAGGAAATATCGTAAAAAAACCTGCATGTCGGGAAAGTAAATAAATACTTAGGATTTTTACAATTTTCGGACAGCATGACGGCGTCTTGCTTTGCCGGGCCGGCAAGTTGTATGACCATTTTTAGCTCTTTGCTAATTTATAAGTATTATTATGTCAGAAATAAAAATATTTAGGAGTCATGTGAAATCAAAAAACACGCACTAAGTTAGAACGGCGGATTATTTGCTCCATAACACTCACCCACCTGTACCCAGCAGTGGTACGGAGGTATAAAGATTGCACCATTTTTATATATTGATTTCTTTAAACCGTGAATTATATTGACTTTTACATTTTTGTTTATATAATAGTAACTCTTACCTGTCCAACATCTTGGTAGACGCTCGCTCGTATCGCTCCAGCAGCTGCTGTAGGTTGGCGGCGTCGTCACAGGATGCGCCCCATCCTAACACGCGGGCCAGATCGTTCCCCGTGCCGAGTGGGAGCACTGCTGTTTGCACTTGACGCTG